ACCTTCTATATATCATTCGACTTATCGATCCTTGCTCGCGAACATCAATCATAAAAAATAAACAACTGTTTACTGTGCCTTCTATACCTTCTATATCTCATTCAACTTATCGACCCTTGCTCGAAAAAATCAATCATAAAAAATAAATAACTATTTACTGTGTCTCCTATACCTTCTATATTTAATTCAACTTATCGATCCTTGCTCGGAAAAATCATTTTATAAAAAAAAAAAAAACTGTTTACTGAGTTTCCAATACGTCCTATACCTCTATATCTCCTATACCTCCTATACCTCCTATATCTCCTATACCTCCTATGTCTCCTATATCTCCTATACCTCCTATATCTCCTATATCTCCTATACCTCCTATATCTTCTATATCTCCTATACCTCTTATACCTCCTATATCTCCTATATCTCCTATACCTCTTATACCTCCTATATCTCCTATACCTCCTATACCTCCTATACCTCCTATATCTCCTATATCTCCTATATCTCCTATACCTCCTATACCTCCTATACCCCCTATACCTATATATCTATATACCTCTTACCCTAGGACATAATCGAGTTTCCGGGGATACTCTCCGAAGACATGTAATCATAAATAAACTCACAATTTGTCGACACATTGAACTTGTATAACATGTACTCTAAAAAAAAAAAAAAAAAAAAAAATGAATATTATATAAAAGAAATTCATTGAATAGAATAAAATTAAAAAAATTCTCTTCTATACTCAAAAGAGAACTCTAGTGCTTTATCACTCGAAGTAGAATTTATTAATACTTTTTAAAATAATACTCAGAATATAGAGTTAGAAATTAAGCCACAGTTGAAAGCGATAGGATTATTCATCCTTATCAATATTGTAGCACATAAGGATCCTAGTTCGTTACTATTAGACACGAACGGAACCAGTCATTATTGGTTCCGGTTCCGCCGGGCCACTATGGCATTCAGTGCAAGTTTTACACGATCATAAAAGATATTGTTCTCAAATGAAAAAATCTTGTTACCGGTCTCATCGGAACTGACATCATCTTTACTATAAAAAGAAAAAGCTGGAAACAATAAACCTTACAAAAAAGGTTTTGTTAATCTCATAAATCTTTCTCGTAGGTTTTTGTTTTACAGTGTTGTCCATATCTAGCATAGATATTCATCGCGGCTGAGAATCTGCCACTACCGCGACGCGATACACTATTAACAAAAACTTGTCACTGCAGCGATGGTATTCAAAAAAAATGTTTCGATTTTCAAGGCCATAATTGGCTTGAACTAGAACTGCTGCTGCTACTCGACCACATTTGCTAAGTCTCATAGTATCACATATATGAACACCGAGATTCTATGCAAATTCATGTAATTTTTGAAATTTCTTCTGAAAAAAAACTATAAATCCGATATAAGCTTTGCATATTAATTAAATGATTCTCGGACATGGACTTAATTTATTTACTGTATACTTAATCTGATTCTCATGTTATATTTCTTCTATTATCTTGCATGTTTGTTTAAAATACAATTCGTAAACAGTAGAAAAACTCTCTGCTCGGGACATCCTTGAATTTATGATAAAATGTAATACTAAACAACATGTTTTCTCAGAACAATAGACTTCGACAATAATATTTTCTTCTTGTTTATACAATCTACTCTCTTTCAATAAAGAGAAACTCTCAAACTTTCCTTTCGTTAATACTTTATGTTCTTAATCAAAATATTTATTTATTTTAATTATAAACTTACTGTATTTGAACGATAATTTCCAACAACTTTTAATTGTCCTTGTTGAATATTAATTATCTCATATAATGATTCAACACGATCACCTTCTTCATTAAATTCAATATTTCCTGTAATACCATTAATAACACTAGCATTCAATAATTCTCTAAAAAAAAAACAAAACAAACTTTTTACATAGGAAAAAAAAAATTCAATATACCTATAAAGATCTTTTCCATATGGCCATGATTCTGTTGATAAACAATTAATAGCTGGTATTTTCGTATCCCAAAATAATGATGTATGATTATTAAATTTATCAAATGTATTCATTAGAAGTTTTGTTGCATCAATAAGAAGATTTTCTTCATTAAATGAATTATGTAATCTAACACCAAGAATACCATCAAAAAGTGCTGTACTATTTGATGTTAATGAACGTTCATTTATAATCCAAACAAAATTTTCTAAATGTTGTAAACGTACAATAACTGATAATAATTCATCGGTATCTTCAATTCTATAAATAAAAAAATTTCAAATAAAAAAAAACAAACAAATAATCAATGATAGAATAAACCTTGTATGAATAATAAAAACACGTGCTAATAAACGATCTTCATATGTTAAATTTGATATTAATGATGTAAAATTTGCATTTGATTCATATTCTTCCATTCGTTCAATCTAAGAAAAAAAGAATTATTAAATAAAATATGTTTTATTACAATAAAAAAATCTCACATGTATATCAGAATCTTCGGCTAACATTTGAAATCTTGACGCAACCATTCGACCTTCTTCATCTTGACTATAAATTAATACAACTTTTGTATATTTTAATTTACGAATCATGCTAAACCATGCATCAGCTTCATATAAATATGGTGGTACAAGTCGTACAATAAAATTATAAAATGCCTAAAATATTATCTCTATTTTTTTTTTGTTCATTTATTATATTTATTTTACTTTATCAGAAAAAAGATCTTCTCTTGATGCTATTGTTAATACAGGTATATGATAAAAATCAGATACATATGAAATAGCAGTTAAAGTTAAATCATTTTCATCTAAACCTCGACCAGCAATAATAGCTTTAGCATGTGATAAATTTCCTATTTCACATAATTTCATTGTTATTAATAATGGATTTGAATCAAGTATAAATGATTGTGATGAAAGATAAATTTCATGATTTAACGATATACTATATAATTGATTTGTATGTTCATTAAGAATTTTAATATGTTCATTATTTGTTAATGCACCTAATATAGTTATATGTGGATAATCAAATTCAAATAAATTCTTCGTTCCATTTATAATATCAGTAGTTTGAAGTTTAATAAAAGGAAAAGTTAGAAAAAAAATAAATGAATACGAAAAGAAATTCATTATAGTAGAATTTGAAAGAAAAAAATAAATAAATAAAAGATAATAGAAAAGAATTCTTTTATTTCGTCTGTCAAGAAAGAAAAAAAATAATAATGAGTTAGACTGAATAGATGAACGGCTTAGAAGTCAACGATTGGAAACTACATATACTTTGTTTTTCTTCTCGGAAAATATGATTTACAGATGTCGCAGAATAACAAACAACTAGAAAACTGTTTCCTATAGTCATATGATCGATTCTTTCTGAAAAAACATTATAACCAATATATTATTATATGCTCTTGAAAAAGGAAAAAAAACATGGATTTTTTTTTGGATTCTTTTCAATCAACTATTCAATTAATACAATATTCCACATAAATTAGCAAGATATAATGTTTAGAAAACCTTTTAATTTACCATTCTTTTATAAAAAAAAAATATGATTTTATTTTATCATTATTCAAGTATTTTGTTCTAATTGTAATCCATCAATAATAATAACTTATATTGGGTACTGTCACGTTCGAATAATAAAAAAATAAAAATAAAAATAATTTTATAGCTAAAAATATTCTTTGTACATAGAAAAATGAAACAATTCAATTATGCTTCAATTTATAAGATATATCAATCGAATAATAATTTTTCTTATGTATTGAAAAAAAAAAGAATTTATTAAAGAATTACTCATGCTTTTCATTTAGTCATTAACATCAAAGATCAATGAATATGATTTATTTTTCGAATTGTTTATCATTTTGAAACAAAAAAAAAAAAAACTATGAGTCAAAAATATTAAAATTTTTCATCATATAATTTTATTTATATTTAATCTAGCCTTTGAAATTATTATTGACTTTATTTATTCCGAAAAAAGAAGTGAAGATTGTAAATAAAGTATATTTATAACTTGATGAATCTGCTTTTCTTTTACATTCTATATATAGCATCATTTCAACAAAAGAAAAAATATATAGGTGATGTATATACACATACACAATCAGTCTTATCATGAAAATTTATCAGCAAAATTTACATATGAATGTATGACCATGAGATTTAAATAATTATTCAATATCCATATTATGATTAATTTTCTTTTCTTTTTTTCTTTTATTCAATATCATATTACAATATTATGTCACGGTAACAACAAAGATATAAGTAGACTAATACCATTAAGTACATTCTTTTTTATAATATATCTTATTTGTTGATATAAATTTGCTTGTATCAGTAAATATAATCAATTAGCATATAGAGAAGGCTTCATTTTTTCTAAGAATTTTTCTTTGTCTATTTATGCCTGTTTTTATATTATTCATTCGTGTTTTGGATCAAAGATAATTGTATAGAAAAGCAGTCACACATAATGACCCTATTGTTATCTATTTATCATTCTATATAATGAAACCCTAAAGACAAAATCTAAGAAAGAAATACGAAAGAAAACCGAGATAGAAAAAAGCACCAATAGCAAAAATGATTTCTATGCAAATACTTGACAAAAGCAACCGGAGAGCAAACATTATATTTCTTCTTCTTCTTCTTCTTCTTTTTCTTTTTTTTTCCTCTCTTGATTGCGTATGACCTCTAACTCTACCATTCTTCATTTCGTTACCATATCTGTAGGTCGAGTTATACAATGGATATAAATCAACAAGAACAAAATCGACAGTTATTCACTCGTCATTATTATCGATAGGTCGACTAACGCTATTTTCTTTTCTTTATTGACAATTTTAGTGATATTAGATATATTTTTTTATTATTATAATTATTATTAATGTTCTAATATTGAACTAGATAAGATTGCTAATGAGCATTTCTTACTATGATAAATTTTATTATATATTATGTTTGTAATTAATTCAAATATAACAATGGAAGGACTTGATCTTGCCATTGATGATGATGTTCTTCAAATGAAAACATCACGTACAGCTACATTTACATTAAGTTCATCATCTTCATCTTCATCTTCATCCTCATCATTATATTTACAACAACAAGATGATAAACAAGAAAATGAACATATACAAAGAGTGTCATATGCACCACAAATTGCAGAAAAACGTTTACTTACACATTCTCAATCACTCAATCTTGAATGTCAACGACGTCGACCAGTTATAGAAGATCCTTATAAATTAAAACCAAATCTTCAAATTCTTAATGATTGGATGATTGTAAGTTTATATTTTCAAACATACATTAAAAAAATATATATATATATATTATTCATGATTGTTACTTGAAATAGCTCTTTCATCATAATAAACTATAAGAATGAGATAAGCAAAAAGAAGTGATAAATGAAGTTAATGAAGGCTTGTTATCGTCTACATATGGTCTATATTAAGAGCACAATTTCTTTTTTATTTTCATCATAGAAAATATAAAAATACGAAAAATTTTTTTTTTGTTGTTGTTGTAATATATTATCGTATTTCATATTGAATAGAATAAGAAAAGAATTTTGATTTGAAAAATAAAACGAATTTATTTGACATAGAAATAGGCAATTGATCATTATATGTTTTTATCATAGCTTTTAAGTAACAGCCATAAAGAAAGAAAACGGAGAGGAATTGTACTATCGTTGCATCAACATCTTTCCGTATTGTGTTGTCATCACATACATTATATACAAGACGTACAGACTCAAAAACAAAGATATTATATTCTGTCCTCAAAGTCATTGATAGATAATAATCTCAACATTGCCATTTTGAGCCATACTTCCATTGCCTGAATATTATATCAGCTTATTTAAATAAGCATATCTATACAACAACAACAACAACAAATTCTTTCACTATGACTTCATATGGTTTCCGTACGTTGACAACATTTTCGACAATTCGTCATTACGAATGTATTAAATCTTATATTTATATATTAATGAAACGTACAATTATTACGATAAAATTTCTCTTCTTATCGTAGATCTTAAATTAGTGAAGATAAAAAATAAAAAAAATTAATAAAATAATCTATTTATATTTTCATCATTTCTTTAGACAACAACGGGTAAAAGTCGACGAGAACTTAGTGAAGCACATGGATTCTCTGAAGAACAAGTTGCTGGTAAGAATTTTAATATTTATTAAAAAAATTTTAATATTTATTTTCTACTTTTTTTTGTTTTTGTTTTAGCATATGAAGAATCATTTTCTTTGCTGGACAAAGATGGAGATGGAAATATAACTCATAATGAAATTCGTTCATTAATGAATTCACTTGGTTATACACCAAGTGAAGAAGATATTTCATCTGTGATATCGACAATAGATATTGACGGTAAAAATTTCATTAATGAAATTCTCTATCTATCTATATATATATATATATTAATTGATTGATTAGGTAATGGTACTATTGATTTTGATGAATTTCTCACAATGATGCGACGACGTAAATCAACAGGCGAAAGTGATATCGAATTACAAAACGTTTTCAATGTAGATAATTAATACTTAATATATCATTAGATTATATTTTTCTTTTTCTTCATAAGGTTTTTGATAAAAATAAAGATGGTTTTATTGATAAAGATGAACTTTATGATATGCTTTCAAGGCTTGGAGAAAATATAACAGACGTGAGTAACCAGTACAACTATGCTATTTATATATCATCATCATTAATCATTGTTTTTTTCCTTTTCATTCTTGACTATAGGAAGATGTGGCAGAAATGATTGCAGAAGCTGATTGTTTTGATAATGATGGAAAAGTATCTTATGAAGAATTCAAAGCTATTTTACACTCAAAATAATATTATTTCATTGTATTCATATGACCAAACAAAGAAGATGCAAAAAAAAACATTACAAAATAATTCAGCAAAAACATCTTCTTAAAATATTGTTGTTGTATTTACTGGAGAAATCGTAGTAATTGTTTTCTATTACGTTGTTTTCTCTCTTTCTTTGTATATCAGCTTGTATGTTAGTAGCCGGGGCAGGACCCTTGAAAAGTCATAGCAGAGAAATATTATATGTATGTATATACTCCATGAGAGAAAAAGCAAAAAAAAAGCGCATTAACAAAAAGAAAAACAAAAAAAAAAGAAAAAAAAAAGGAATGTTATTAATAAATGAAAAAAACAGAAACATACACATAGCTCAGCTAAAAACGGATTTAACAAAAAAAAAAAAAAAAAACATATATATGGAAGAACCGTTATATCAATTTTTTCGGAAAAAAAAGACGGAAGGTTATGTGAAAAACAAACGATAATATGTGTATATATTTTATACAAAGAAAGAAAGAAAAAAAAAACTAGTGTTTTCAGATCATTTTTCAGAAAGAGCACCAATATTGCAAAATCACAAGAAGAAGAAAAAAACGATTTCGTTTCTGCTGTTTTTTTTTTCTGTAAACACGGGTATAGATTCCTTTTTTTTATTATTTTTTTTGTTGTACAATATAATCAATGGGAAGATTATTTATGGACGGATAAATATTATTATTAATGATAATGAAATAAATCACAATATAGTACAACATATTCGTTTTTCACGATCAACATCATCAATTTTATGTTGATCATGAATTTCGATATGTTTAGGTGATGTATATCTTTGTAATGGATCATCTTTTGTTAATCCATATATACCATTTGATATTTTATTATTATTATTATTATTATTATTATTCATTTTATGATTGGTATCAATCATTGGTAATGTTGGAGGTGGAGAAGTCACAACAGGAGGTACAGTTGTTGATGATGATCCACCAATACCACGACGTCGTTCTTCACGTCGTCGTTTAACATCACTTAATGTATCAGCAGTCGTTTGAGTTGGTGGTAATGGTGGTGGAACTTTTAATGGAGGTAAAGTTAATTCAATGACGGGTGCAATTGATTTTTTAATTGGAGTTGTTGTTGTTGTTGTCGTTGTTGTTGTTGGTTCTCGTATAGTTGAATCACTTGCTGTTGTTACACTACTTGTTCGTTCTTCTTTTGTTGATAATTTTGTTGTTGTTGTTGGTGGTGGTGGTGGTGATATTATTCCATTAGTTGTTGGAACATTAGCTGTTGTTTCATCAGCATCTTCTTGTATTTTATCTTTTGCTTGTAAAACATCAAAAAAATTTTCATTTAATTTTTTCACTTTTTCACGATCACGTATTGATGCACGACGTATTGAACTTGTTCGATTTAATGATGAACCACTTCCATATGGAGATGATACACTTGAACGTGATTCATATAATGTACCTGTTCGAGATGTTGTTCCATTAGATAAAGTATTTGCATTTGTTGATTGACGATGATTTGTTTTTTGTTGTAATTCAGCAGCAGCTGCTGCCGCTGCAGCGGCTGCTGCTTTTTCTTGATTACGTATTTTTTGTTTTCGAAAATCGATCATAAATGTACGTAAATCAGGATCATCACATAGATCAAGTGCTGAACGACCATCAGGAATTTTTTCATAAATATCTGCTCCACCATCGATTAATAGAGCTGAAAAAGAAAACAAAAAAAAAAATTAAATATTTTTCTTTAAAATTTTATTTATCTTTTATTACTAAGAACAGTTTGTTGACACCAAAATGCTGCTGCATGTGTTGGTGTCCAACCATCATTATCTTGTAGATTAATTGATACATTTTGTTTTAATAAATATTCTACAACTGCTGAATAACCATTTGCACTAGCTATGTGTAACGGTGTTGCACCTTCAGAATTTCGATATGATAGTACATCATCAATGGAACGTAATGATATTTGAGGTTTTTTTTTAACTAATGTTTGTAAATCAATTAACATTTGATTTTCAACTTCACCTCTTGTTTTATCAATCATTTCTTGTGTAATACCAATACGATCCATTTGTGTTTCAATATAATCAAGTGTTATTTCATCATCACATATATCATATGGCATATTACCATCAGCATTTAAAGCTAATAATTCAGCACCATTTTCAATTAAAATTCGACATATTTGTAAATGACCACATGTTGCTGAAAGAAAAGAGCAAAAAATAAAGTTATCTTTTTGTTTTTAGTTTTTTTTTATATATATCTAATTAATAAATAATAGCTTGTGAATAAAAGTTTCATTAGCAATTAATTCAAAGTCCGAATTCCACATAGAATTAAGACATAATTATTGTGTAATTTCAAGCAAGCCTTTTCTTTTCATATCCTTACTCTATCCTACATATGCCGAGTTGATGCTTTCAATGAATAGTGTACACTTTGATGGTGATCTATTTTTCAAGATTTCTCTCACATATTTAATATTAAAAAATAAATAAATATTTTATATTTAGAAACTAAACGATATTTAAATGAGATATAAAGAAGACTAAACATTTTATAATATTTATTTATAATATTAAAATATTAATTTTTGTCGTAATGATAGTTAATTAAATAGTGAGCGTGATACTATAGCTATATCCAAATCATGAAATAAGCCAATATAAAATCTATATACATTATCCTTTTTTGTATAAAACTCTAAAATATAAACATAGTTTTATTTTTTCGTTTATCTCTATGTTCGAGTCGTACAATATGATAAGACATAATTTTAATTCAAAATAATTATATATTTAATTATACCTGCAGCATGTAAAGGTGTCCATAGATCTCGATCTCTTGCATTAACATTACCATTATATTCAATTAATAATTTTAATAATTTTTCACTATTATCAATTGAACATTGATGCATTGGTGTAAGACCATCTTCATTGGATGCATTTGGATTATATTTTCCTGTTTGTAGAAGTTGACGAACTTCATCAGTATCTTGACGTGATGTAGCTATAAATAGATAAAATTTTCAAAAAACAAAAAAAATAAAAAATTATGTCAATAAGAAAAAAATCTCTTTCATCATTTTTATTACATAAGATAATAAAAAAAATACTTGAAAATGAAATGCAATAAACGAAACAAAAAGAATATTTTTCAATTACCTTCTAATAAAATAACATTTTCAGAAAATTTAACAGATGATTGTTTTGTTTTTGAATATGATTTCATTGATTTTGTTCCTGTTGTTGTTGTACCATTAATTGTACCTGTTGATATTGTTGTATTATTACTTGATAGACCTTCTCGTTGTGTCCAATTTTTAAGTTGTTGTTGTCGTCTTCTTCGTGCATGTTTAAGTCTTTCTTGAGCTGTCATTTTTTCTAACAGCACCATTTCTTGTATAAGTTCCGAATGATCCATTGTTTATTTATTTTTTGTGAAAAACTTACGTTTGAATAATTATTGAATTACATGCTATTGTTCTTGAATGTTTTAAATAATCACTATAAGATAAAAAAAAACAATGAATTTATATATACTATTATCATCCATAAAAAACAAGTTGTTTAGTATGTAAATATAATATTTTATGATTTTGAATAAGTTCTTTCTTTTCTCTTTTTTTGATTTCTTATATATGTATAGAAAGTAACAAAAACAAAAAGGATTGTGGTTCCAAGGTAAAAAAAAATGAACTATATTATTTTCATTTAAAATAAGTGATCTGTTCACAATTTCAATTTTTTTTCAATTTACAAAAGATACCTTTGAAACGATGTAAACTGGCGCGATGCGACGCTTTGTTTGTTGCAAAAAAAAAGAGAGAAAGAAAAAAAAAATGTCGAAGACTTTTATTTCTTCTGTCTTACCCTCGTTCTTTTTCATGTTAATCAAACGTTTCGCATGTGTTCGTGTACCTATTCTTTCGAACTACGACAATATTATAAGAAAAAAGAAAAAGAAAAAAGAGAGAGAGACCTCATCGTAATTGAAATATAAACTATTCAGAGTCTTGTTTTAGAATTTACTTATTAGATAAATATAGAGATGTACATGTTACTATAAAATCATAATATATATTCTTACCCGTCGAACATTTCCATTGTTAATAACGACTGATTTTCTATACATCGAAAATACATTCTCTTTTTATGACAATTCTCAAAGTTTATATAATCTAAAACAAAATTATATTTTTCACTTCAAGCAAAAAAAAACAAATTTTTTTTGACTTATGTCAAAATAAATGGCAAATTTATTCTTTTGTTTTGTTAGAATAAATAAACATACTAAAAAAAAATTCACATGATCAAAATAAAAGAAATGTTAATATTTCACATGCAAATTAAACTAATTGAAATCTAAAAGTTTTACTTTTTTTTTTTTTTTTATTTCCTATTCTATAACATGTTTTTTTATTAATGTATATTGAAGAACAAATGAATCCTGTGGTAAACGTAATAATGGATCATCTTTAATAATTGATTTTTCTTGTTTTGGTGGATTATAAGATCCTGATGTTGATGATTCAATTTCAAATCCAAATCTTAATAAACGTTGTAAAACATCTGTATATGCTATTGAACCAAGATCAAGACTTGAATCATAACAATTATTCTCTACATAAGCTCGTTCAGGTGCTGTTGGTAAAATTTGTGCTATAAGTTGTTTATCACCATGTAATTGAAAATTTTTTGAATTTGTTGTAAGAACATTTCGAACAACTAATGAAAGTATTTCAAAACGATGTTGTGATAATAATGACATCTGCAAACACAAAACAAAAAAAAGAAAAAAGACCAACCATAACCAAATAAGTTTTCCTACAAACTATGACCAATCTTATATCGTTTGAATAAAAAAAAAACAAACAAACACTGTGATAAATCAAAGAAACAACAGTAATAAACAAACTAATAGACTAGAAGAAAAAAAAAAAAAAACAACAAAACTGATTAAATGAATAAAGCAAATAAATGTAACACATAGTTTCCTGAGAACAAAACAAGAAAAAAAAAATTTCATAGTAAAAGAAAATACATTCATGATTTTTCTTTATCAAGAATTACGTTTAACAAGAATATATTGCGTACGAAGAAGACCTTGTGTACCTGCGCCTGATGAACCTTCAATATGAAAACCAGCTTGAAGAAAAGCTTCAAGTACTTGTGTATATGATTGTCGATCAGGATCAGCTGGTGAATTATAATAACCCCAACGAAAAGCAGTCTCCGATGATTTAGGTAAAACTTGTTTAATTATTTCACGAGAACCATGCTTTAATAATAATAATAAATAAAAAAAGAGAAATAATTTAAATCAAATAAATCTTTATTTTTTATTCTATTCTTACTAATTCAAAAAATTTTCCATTGCCTGTAGATAACCAAATAACCATTGAAACAACATCGAGTTTATTTGATGAAGCTTGTTCCATGATGTATCTTTTGTTGTTTAGATGTAATACAATCTAAACAAGAGACAAAAAAAAATAATACAGACTAAGAGCAGAAAGACAACAAATCATGCTCGTCTTCTTCTTCCTTAAGCAAAGCTAAGCTCTTATACTATCTATATCTATGTGTACGTATGCAGTGTGTCTGGATATGTATGTGAAAGAGAACATGATCTACGAATCAAAATAATCTTTGAAAAAATTTTTTTTACTGTATTTGATTCAATAGTTTAAAAGAAGAATTTTATTTTTTTTTCTTCAAATTAAAATCTTATGTACGAGATGTAACAAAGAAAATCTATACCAATCATTATGATATACACGGATATGTACGACATCTGTAGAATAGTTCATCTTCATATTTTAGATTATCACTCGAATAGAGAAGCTGACTGACTGCACAAACCCAGAATATGTTAGAACATGATCCCATATGCTACAAGTATCAACATCAAAATCTGTTTGATTTGTATCCATATTCGTTTTAATAATTTCCAACGAACGTGTTTTCATTGTGTTCGTCTCGACTAAGGATGATAGCTTGAGGTCTGACCTTTCATAAATGATATGATTTTTTGATGGATATTGGACATTCTAAAAGTTTACATTGAATATTTCTATCAAGTTTTTTGTACTACATGAATGATATTTTATCAAATGTGACTTGTTTGTTTATTGAAATTTTTTTGAATTAAATTTTTAAAAGAATTCGTTAGAGAAAAATAAAGTTAATCTGACTCTGATTTTATTGTACAGTTCGTTAAGAATATTTACTTATACAAAACTCAATGTTTTCTAATTTTGTTTGATTAAGAAGACGTTAATATTGGTCGGCGAAGCATATAGACGTTTGTATAGGAATTATGATGCGTTGCTCAAATCTATCAATCTGATGGAAGGAGAAAAAGTGTTTGACCCTATTCAAGCCTTATGGATCCGCTGCCTATGATTGTATGTATACTTATTTAAGTTTTCTAATGTGTCTGTATATGATTAATAATATTCGAAATAAAATAGAATAATAATTATATTAAATAGGAATTTGTTTCATTTAGATAAGCTAAGAAACTTATACAAATTGATATCCAATATCATTTGCTAAAAACGGCAATGTTTTGTCACACAGTTATTTTCTCACATACAATAGAAGGAATTCAATAGTCATAATTTCAAATAAAAATTAATTAGTAAATTGATTCATTTTTAAATTTCATGAATTTATTTCCATTTAAAAATTTTCTATTACCTACTCAACTGATAAATAGACACTTGTAGTGTTTAGATATATTAAATGTATTAAAAAAGTTAAAAAGAACAATAACAGAAAATAAAAAGAATGCACGAGATATAATGAGCAAAATGAAAAACAAAAAACTCTTGAGTCAAAATAATTTCCTGCGTAACACAAAAAAAAAAAATAGCATAAGATCCTAACATGAAAACTACTACTTTACGATGTATATATTATAGGATTGTGTATATAAAAAGAAGGACGTTTAGTTTTTGACAATATAACATATATACATCTGTACTGTAACTTATCACACAAGATGATTTATTCAATACTGTCAAAATAAAAAAAGAAAAAAAATTATTTTTTAATTAATTATTGTTATTTTCATATTGATTATTATTTGTTGTTGAGAGTAGTGTGTTATTATCATTATCATTATTTTCATAATCAAATGAATTTTTCAATAATGTTTCTTCATTAGAACATATCCATGGATGTTTAAGTGATACATTAGCAGTTATTCGATGTCTATTTAAATTAAAATATAAATTTATCAAAAAACATAAATAAATATTCGTATTTGTTTTTTACTTTGGTATTCGAACAATTAAATTTTTTATAAGATCAATACATGTTTTTGATATTTTTTCAAATAAATCCTCGGGAAAATCAAGTATACATTGTGCTATATTACTTTGTGTATTCAAAGCAGTTGTACCACCAAATGGTGTATGACCAGTAACAAGTACATAAATCAAAACACCCATACTCCACATGTCAGTAGCATATGTTAATGGTTCATAATTGACTACTTCAGGTGCTAGAAAATATTAAAAAAAAAAAATTAAAGAAAAAACAATACATACTAAAAAAAATTTACCAAGAAAATCTGTTGTACCAGATATTTCTAATAAACATTGATTAGTTAATATACGAGATAGACCAAAATCACATAATTTTATTTCTGTACTTGGCCATTTTTCCATAAGAAGAATATTTTGTGGCTACAAGAAAAATAATTTATTTAACGAAATACGAAACATGATCAAATAAATTTATGGACAGAAAGGTGACATTATTCTTTACACAACCGATTCATTCTAAGCATTCAAATGAACATGAAGTAAAAAATGGAAGGTGTACCTTAAATAGGGAAACATATACTCTGACATATGAGTTATGTTTTTTTACTTTGAACAAAAAACAATAAAGAGAAAAAATTCCTGCGAAAATTATATATATAATCTGAGATAAAAGAATTTCTAACTTTATATTTGAAGCTTGTTTTTTAACGATCACGAGATATGAATCCGATTTCCATTCGTTGTCAAAATTTCAGTTCTAACTATTGAAATAACACTTTCTCATCGTTCGTTGACAGATTTTGATCATGCTAAATGAATTTATTATCCTCACAAAAAGTTAGCCAAGTATTAGAAATTAATTTCGATCTAACCAAAGATTTTTCACCTCAAAATTTCAAGCTTACTTTTAACCGACTCATAAAATATCAAAACTACCTAGCGAATTTTTCGCCTCAACCGATCAATCGAAAAAAATCTGACCACTTCTAAGTATGAACTAAATAACGTTAGTATGAGTACATGTTTGGATTTTACAGCAATCAAATTTTTCGTATAATCAATACCTTAATATCAAGATGAATAACTTTATTCTCATGAAGAAATGCTACAGCTTCAAGTACTTGTTTAGTAATATGTATTGCTTGTGATTCTTCTAAATAACCTTCTAATTCAAGAATTAATTGTAAATCTCCTTGTTTTGCACTAAAAAAAAAAAAATATATATAAAACATTCATTATTAATATTTTGTTTTTCATTTATAATTTACTATTCAAGAATAAAAATAGCTTCAGTTGGTAAATCAAATACTTGATAAAGTTTTATAAAATTTGGATCTTTACATGATAATTGAAATACACGTAATTCATTGAGTGCGTGTTGTAAATGACGTTTTTTAATTATTTTTGCTGCAAAAAATTCATCAGATGAATCTTTTTTTACACATTTTTTAACTACTGAAAAACGACCACTATAAAAATAATAAGTTATCAATGATATTTAAAAAAAATATGTATATAAATTATTTACCGACGAAGATCTTCAGTTATATTATAGATTGAATCAAACGATACTTTAGCACAACGATGAGTAAATTCACCTGGTGCTGCTGTTTGAATCATATTGTCTATGGACGATGATGTGTCAATGCAAGAGAAGATATATTAGACTTGATGAATTCTAAAAGAATAACTCATACATATGAAAGTAATAAAACTAAATCATGCATAGATAAACATTGCAAGATGAGAAAATATAGAAAAATTAATTAACAGAAAAAACATGTTTTTATTCGATTTTTTAACATTATTAAATAGATTGCGAGTATAAGTTACAACATACATCGTCTAATATACGTCGCGACGGAATATTATGGACGAAATATTTTTGTTTTTTTGTCAATAGATATTATAAAAGAATAAGCCGATATATTTATATATGCATGCCTACGTTGACCTTCTTGGAGATGGCGCTATCGCTCTCGTTTATTCAATTATTCTTTCTGCTACTTTCATATATACATCGTAAATTTCCTACTACTGGTATATTGCATGAGGAGAGTATGAGCAGATATTGTATTATATAATATATTGATTGATGTACATGTCAAGGACAATGTGTAGATTTTGATGTATACTGATAAAGTATATCGACAATTTAGTGACATATAAAGATTAAAAATTATATCATTAAATTTCTAATAATAATAATAGAGATATGGTTTTCAGTTGAACATTTAAATAAAATTTAGTGACAAAGAATATCATATATATTGAAAAAAAAACAGATAGCATGCGAAGACATTAAGATTTCAGGATAAATACGAAAATATTTCACAAAAACATTATTTTATTTGGCAATAGTAGATTATTTTCAATTATTGAAAGTGTACCCATCAATATCCACTTGTATAGGATCAAAACAAAACACAGATAATACAAACATTTCACACATATCAATACACTACATGAAAGACTACAGAAATATAATGTAGTT